TCTGCCTCTGGCAAGTCTTGAAGGTTTAGATCTTCATCGCTCTCCTCCCTCGCGATCACGGGTCCGTCGTCTACCTCAATCGCCGTATCGCCCGTATCTCCCGTAAGCTTCGCAGAATTGGACTGTATCGGCTTCTTGTTCGGTTCTCGAAAAGTCTTCTGCTTCGTGAGGAGGGTGTGACGCGTGCCAGTCTCGGTCAAAAAGATGGAGATCTCGAAGTCCTCTGCTGATATCAGTGATCAATCATTCGCAGATTTCAAACCGGCAGACCTTCTACCACGACATCCTTGACTCCTTTCTTCTTGCTGCCTTTGCCCTTGCTACGCTCATTCTCTTCGCGGAGTTTGGGGAGGACGAGGGGGCGGACGCTTTCGATGACGCGAGGAAGAACGGGATCGCGTGGGTTGAGCAGCCAGCTCTCTGCCAACGAGGGATTATCGACATAGATGCGACATTCTAGGACTGAGAACTTAGTGATTCGTAGGTATCTGCGGATAGGAGCCATGGTCGTGAAGGCTTCGAAATGATGTTGTGTGAACTCGACCTAGATCGCGAGGCGGGCATTCTAATAATTGGTATTTCAGCCTCGCGAGGCAGCCTCGGTTGGAATCTGTTTACAGTACCCACTTCAAAAGTCGTACGGATTTTTTATTTCTATGCTATACATCATATATTGGTTATATACAAATTTTCAAAATACATCAAATCACCCTTTAATTTCTTGCCTTTTCACTTCTGGGCACATTGGTATGATAGAGCTGCATTCATAGCTTCTGGAACTTCTTTTTCCCGCTCCGTCTTAGCATGCTACCCTCGTCATATCGCCTCGGTATCAAAAGCTCCCAACATAATTCTACAAGACAACACATGCGATTTGAATTCCCAAAAACATCTTCACATGCATCTTAATCCCTTTAAATGAATACACAAACTCGGAAGGCTATCCAATACCTATCCAGTGCTGATTACACAAGGCGAAGCTCAAAATCCCGGGAGGCGAGGTTCCACAGATCCCGGAGGATATCGGACCTCGAAATCACAAGGGACCAGCGGAATTCCACATCCAAATTTATATTTGAGAGAACGATATATGAAAACACAAACGCAGTCCTTACCTCATTTTCCTATTGTCAGACATGCTTTCGATCCTAAATACCTCCGCGAGAAATACACGAGTTTTCCGAGGCAGTCCGATATTCAAGGGACTGCTTCGAAGGGGAGTTTCTACCCAGGAACTTGATGCTTCAAAAGGAGGCGAGTTTGCTTAACTGAAGCTCCTGGGTGGTTGCTGACATATCTAAGATCGTGAACGTGTGGTCATCCTAGGTTCAGGGCAAGTTCCCAACTCCATATCAGACCTATTTCTCACATATCTTAGCTGGTCCGGCTTTGTCCTATCCCGAGAACTCGACAAGAAGAAATTTCAAACGGTGGTTGTATCACCAAGATCCTATTTTGTCTTCACTCCTCTTCTTGCATCTACAGCAGTCGGTACACTCGAGTTCCGGAACACTCTCGAGTCTGTCCGAGCTCGTGGGAAGGGAGTTGAGTTCTTTCAAGGCTGGGCAGATGATGTCAACTTTAGTCAGAAGAAGATTCAAGTCGAAGAGATAACTGCAAGACGTCCATTACATGTATCTGGCAAGGCTTATGAGGCTTCAAGTATCACAGAAGCCGATCAATCTTTCCGAGTCAAGAAAAAAGGCAAAGTCTTCGATTTAAATTATGACAAGCTCGTTATAGCTGTCGGTTGTTACAGTCAAACTTTCAAAACTCCCGGTGTCAGAGAGAACGCATTCTTCTTGAAAGATGTTGGTGATGCTAGGAAGATCAGAAAGAGGATTCTTGAGTGTAAGTTTGTCTGTCGTTTGATGGAATCGGACGACACTGACTTGGCGCAGGCTTCGAGACAGCTTCCTGTCCTACAACTTCAGACAAGCTTCGTGATCAGCTCCTGAATTTTGCAGTCGTTGGCGGTGGACGTAAGCTCTCTCATCCGCTCGTAGTTCGTGACTAACATCCCTAGCTACCGGTGTTGAATTCGCTGCCGAACTCTTCGATCTATGCCATGAAGATCTTAGGAAGCTTTACCCAAACCTCATTCCACACATCAAAATCTCTATCTACGATGTCGCCCCCAAGATTCTCCCTATGTTCGATGCTTCTCTCGCCAACTAGTACGTGACTCTCAAGAATTGTTGCCATCTTGAAACCTTGACTTTTCTTAGAATGTTCCAGCCCAATCCTGATGCTCTTAATCGTGAGTGGAAGAGCAATGCTAACTCCGATCCAGCGCCATCAACCTCTTCAAACGCGACGGCATCAAAATCAAAACAGAACACCACATCCAATCCCTCCAACCCGGCCTTCCCGGATCCATTGACCCCGACAACGACGGCGGATGCTTCACTCTCAAGACCAAAGAAGACGGTGAGATTGGTGTAGGAATGTGTGTATGGTCCACTGGCCTCATGATGAACCCCTTCGTACAATCGGCTCTCGACGACGTCCACACTTACCCAACAACATCCGCAACCCTCTCAACTGAAGTCGCCTCCCCATCCTCCAAGAAGTGGTCTCTCAAACGCCACCCTCGCTCTGGCGGTCTCCTCGTCGATGATCATTTCCGCGTGAAGCTCATACCTAGAAATAGTTCCTGGCCAGAAAGCTCGTCCGTTACAGAAGCGACGATGCAAGATGTTTTTGCCATCGGTGATGTCTCTGTTATGGAGAAGTCCCAGTTGCCTGCTACGGCACAGGTTGCCAATCAGGAAGCGAAGTGGTTGGGGAAGACGATGAATAAGGGCAAGTTGAGTGAGAAGGAGGGGTTTAACTACAAGAATCTGGGTGTCATGACATACCTTGGGAACATGAAGGCGATCATGCAAGCGGAGGGTGGGACGGAAGTTAAGGGGTATGTAATTATGCAGGAAGATTGGGTGCGAAAGGCTAATGTAGGATAGGAGAATGGCGTGGTTGATCTGGAGAGGAGCGTATCTGACGCAGACAGTCAGTTGGAGGAACAAGTTGCTAATTCCAATCTATTGGTACGAATCTTCCTCATACTGCTTCGAAGGAAGTGCTGACTTCTCTAGGTCTATCAATTGGGTTTTCGGAAGAGATATCTCGCGGTTCTAGTCTGGTACAGTTTGCTGTGTAAGTTATGTATGTTTTTCGCGACATGAAGAATTTTTTACACCTCGATTACCTCCGAGGTACCAACTCGTAATTGGGCATGCCGTTGAGTTTTGTTATTCTAAAGTGACTAAATATGAGGTGCATGCACTGCCCTTTTAATATTCGTGTTAGCTCATCGGCTTGACGACTAGAGGAAAGCTTGGCCATGCGAGCGAGAGCTAGGGGTTCTTCAATCATTCTTCCAAACAGAATCGCGTTTTCTCCGCAAGGTTCTGGTCAGTCATATGCTTCTCTTCATCTAGTGTCAACCCACGCGGCACTTTCCAGCCTGGGCCTCCATCCACCCCAACAGACGACAGCTAGTAAAGAAATGGCAACGAGACTGGGAGATCAATAAATACGACAAGACAAGTTGAGGGATTTTACCATGGACGATTCTCAGTGCAATGATGCTCAATGTACTGTACATACTCCTCCAGCACCAAGCCATCTTTCGTTGACAGCTATACGTTTCCCTACCACCAAGTAGTTAAAACAGAAATCCCAATGTGCCTCCACGCTGCTCCTTGAAGAACCTGATAATCTTGACGGCGCTGGTCTAATCCTTGCTCTTTATACCCGATACTGGATCTTTGGTGTGAATTCAAACTACGCTCAACTTTCATGCCGTTACCGTGTCTTACTGGTTCACTTTATCCGCGCCACTTCACTTTAAGATTAGAAAAATGCTCGCTTCACTGCCCAACTTATTGGAAATCCCCATTACGTCTTGTACATTATTTCGGTTTGTGAAGTTGTGCTTGTCGATTAGCAAAGACCAGGTACATGGCTTCCATGCTCTCTGCGCATGGCATTTGGCGGTTCTCTGAATTCTAGAGGGAATATTTTCATTGAAGGACAGGAGTTATCTACGCAATTTGCTTCAGTGATTATGATTCTCCAAGAATATTTGCAGTGCATTTGGTACCAATGGGGTTGAGATAGCGACAATGTAGAACTTGACAACAAGTCCGGAGTCTGTCATTGGTCAAGTCCGAAGAACAGTGTTTCCCATTTCCCACAATGTCCGCAATATCCACTTCGACTGCTTTGCGGATACCTTAAATCAGTCTGTGGTTGTCTAATTCGTCTGCCAGGTCAAAGATGGTGTGAAGTAGCAAATCTTTTCCCTTCTTAATCTTCGTGATTTCAATGTGTGTACGAAGAAGCTCAATTTGAAAGTTCCCAATGCTTCTAACGCTTCTAGGGTCGAAAGCGACAGTGAGATCATCGATCCTGCTGCGGACTATCAGATTAGTATATATTGCCCGAAGAACTGAGATTATTAGCACAAATTTCGGAGAACACATGCAAGACCACATCGGAATAACATCAAGGGACATATTATTACGCTAAAAGTGCTCAATGGGAGCTGTCTTGGGCGATCCTGCGAGATGTTCTCTGAGAAGCTGCAGAAGCACGACGACGCCGACATTAAGCATAGTTATTAAGAGGAATGTTAAAAGCACTTGTAGTTTAAATGCGCTAGAATTGTAATAGAGAGATAACTGATAGCAACCTGGAGACGCTTGACAAAACTTGTGAGGTGAGTGATTCACACCCACGTGACCTGGATCGATGGCACTTCAATGGCTATAGGAAACTCTCCAAGCAGTGTAATTAATAACCCAGAAAATAGACCAGCATCAGTTTGAGCGTATAATTATATTTAATATTCCTATGGTCACGGCTTCTATAAGAACCTACTCGAAGTAAGGTACATTAAGTGGAGATCCGCTTACAACCAGAATAGCACGCAAGTGCAGAAGATTTCCTTAACCCTTTGATATCACCAAATAAAAAGGGGGCAACGAACAAAACAAGCTCATGTAGCTCAGTGGTAGAGCAGCGGATTGCAGTTAATCAACTTCTCCGCAGGTCATCTGTTCGATCCAGGTCAGGAGCTGAAATTCTTATTTCACTTTTCATTTCTTTTGAATTTTCACATTCTCTACAAGCGTTACATGCATGGAGGCTTTGCTCAGTGTTCAATCTAAACACCTTCTTCTTTTTCTAAAGCTCCATGCTTAGAAGACTTGTGGGTCTCGAAAGGCAAGCAATTTTCATCGTGTCGGGTCCACCAGGCGTTGCGTTAGGGCAAGCTTCCTTAAGCGAGAAATACAAGGGGCTCGGTCGCTAAATCTCCTGACTGTCAACAAAACACAATGGCGCTCTTTTAGCTACCGATTGTTGCCCTTCATCAAGGTCTCTAGGGACTATTAGAATTACTTATAGAGCTAGCATGATTCAACTTTAGGTACCTTCTTGGCACGGAATCATTTTCGCTCATCAATACTCATCAATGATTTATCGCAAGAAGTGATGCAATTACCATCTCACTAATCGCATTTGCCAACGCATCATCAGTGCCTCTTGCATCTGTGGCCCAATCATATAGTTTGAATGAGGAAGTCTTCTCGCAAAGAGTAGCATATGTCGTAGCAACTACTCGATACATGAACCCGACTTTCTAAAGTCTTGCTGTAGAGATCACTGGAGATATCATCAGCTAAGGGAATTTCGCACATGGAGAACCGTCCGTGTAACTAATCTCGGGACTTCAAAGGAATTTCCACACTCCTCTCACATCACAAGACATCATTACGATAGACAAGTATCCACTGTAGCAGCACATGATCGATCTTGTCATGCAGTTCGTGGTTTAGGAATGGGTCGTGTACTCTGCAAGTACTGTACCTGCTCGAGCCATATTTTCCAATTACTCGATATTTAGAGCAGAAACTGGCAGAGGGCTCTGCGGTCCGTTGCGAGTGGATACCATGAGACTGGTCTCATGTAACAGCCTAAAAGCTCAGAACAAAGCTATGTCCATTCGTATTTCAGACTGTGAGGCTGCTGGGCATTCTTCGATCACGTCTTCCATTTTGAAAGAAATCTGTTTGGTGGAATCTGGAAGAAATCTGATTGCGCCACGGTTCCGCTCCTGCTACTTGACGACCATCTCGTAAATGCCTGGCAGAGTGAGTTATTCTCCATGGAAGCTTGAATTGGCGGGTTAGGTGACCTACTTGAGTGGGAGACGTAAACATCTAGCAATTTTTGTCTCAAACAGAGATGTACAGCAAGTCTGGGATTTTGGTCATTATTTGACACCAGCTACATGTTTCATCTGTTGAGCATTGCGTGTATTCTTAATGAAGCTCTCGAATGCTTGGGCACGGAATAGTACAGCGAGTTTTCGTATCCGACACTGCCAGCAGGCTCCTTAGTCCGCACTTGACCGACCTTCTTCCTTTGCTCGACCTTGTATGCCTTCTTACACCTCCTTGCGCTCTTCTTTAGCTTTATGCTTTCGAAAGCAGTCATTAGATCTACTAGCGGTGGTGGTTGGGATCCGTATCCGTCGGGAACTGGTACAAGTGCCATATTCTGCATCAAACCATTTGAAAATGTCGAGTCGCCTCAAGCAGTTGCTACAGTTGCCAAATATATATATATTTGGTTATGATAAACTGGCTGTCGTAGAGTAGCCCAATGATTTTCGCTACCATCGAGTGTTAGGAAGATGCAGTTCCAGGGAATTCCAGTCATGGACGAATGTTCAGACATCCCAATTTGGTTCTGTGAAGATGCATTGCAGAATGTTTGTGTAAATATTATTGGGCCATCTTCGTCTTGTCTCAATAATCAACGTGTACTGAACGATGGTTGAAACGGAGCAGGAGGTAACAGTAAGTTGCTCTGAGCGTCGTGGTTGAAGACAGATGTTTGGTCAGGGTGTAAGGCTGAGGTTGAATTCCATTCCTGGCACTGCAAGAGGGGCCTGGTCAAACCAAATTGCAGCAGCCATGGGGTACCCAAACACTTCATCGCAATTCATAAGGTAGCCAAGATTGTTTGTGACAAAGGGAATATCCCAAATTGATACGTGTCCCACAAGCGCCTCTTCTCCAATTGCCGTTGGCTCGATGCCGCTCTGACTGCAAATCGCCTCGACACTATTTACCTCTTCCACATCATTGTTCGAAGCACTTGCAAGATCAAAGAAGTCATCTTGATCCAAACTTCCCTATAATTCGACAAGGGAATAAATCAATACATTTTAATCTACCAAAACTACACCACTTCCAAATCCCCAATGTCTTCTTATACCGTATACTTTAAAGTTGTATGTTTGCATAACGACTTGCTACCAAATTGTCGACCTGTCGAGTCTCATACCAGTTCTATCCTTCTCCACTTCTGATGTCTCACGATCATCCTGGCCCTTTGATTCCCCTCAAAAATCCCCTCACCTTCCCCGACCTCGGCTCCTTTTCCCATCATCACTATCCGCTGCACCTTTTCCATCAAGTACGCCTTTAACAGCCTCAACTCTCCCAATACCAGCACCAAGATCAACACCAACAACAGGTAAGTCTTTCTCTCTCCCATCAATCACGATCTTCAAAAGTGGCACAACAGTCGGCTTGCCATTTAGGATTGTGATGACAACTGGTAGGACGGTGGGTGTACTTTGAATGGTTGTTGTAAGATGGCTGATAACATTGGGTTCGTCCTTTGCGGCGGTGGATGCTGGCGTGGATGGGTTTATTGGAACACTTGAAGTTGGAAGCGGCTGCGGTATGACGGTTTTAGTGGCCTGCTGCTGTACCGCTTTCCCCAAAACAGGGAACATATTGTTGATCACTGGTATCGTGGCTGATCTCGTGGCACTTGGCTGGAAAAGCGGAGCTGAAGTAGCATTAGGGACATCAGCAGCAAGTAAGTCGCTATTGACAGCTGCAATGATTCCTGCAGCAGTTGAATCGAATCCACCGGCTGGGTTGTTTGCTCCAGGTACTCCAGCAGCCACCAACTGACTCGCAACACTACTAATGAGAGCTGTCGCGGTAGGTACGAGTCCAGCGTTGGGATTTCCTCCAATTCCAATAGTTGTAGGAATAAGACAGCCTGCGGGATTACTGACAGCTGCGGCACCATTCGAAAGAACATTCCCAGCCGCACCCGTAGCTGAAGTGATCAAATTACCTCCAGGGTCCCCGAGACTTGTAGGGTTTGCGTTTCCTAGGGGGAAGTTCGCACCAAGAACCGAAGAAAGCTGCCCCATGACTGAACTCAATATTGTTCCTGATAGACCATCGACATTTCCAAGGGCAGAGTTGACACTATTGATAATGTTACCTGCAAGATCTCGAGTCGTGGTTGTGGCTTGGTTTAATGGTCTGCTTGAGGTTGGGAATGCTGACATGGATTCTGCTCCCGTGTTCATTATAGCGAATGCAGCTGATGGTAGACTTAGAAGATTTGGTGTGAAGCTTGCCATAGTCGAAGGGACGGATGAAAAGGCAAGTTGAGATCTAAAAGATCAGCAAAGCCTATTAAAAAGATCTGTTAACTCACCCAGAAGTATTTCCCAAAACGGCAGCAGCAGAACTGATGAATGCATTCGCAGAAGAAGTAGGGCTGGACATGCAAAACCATCCTTGAGAACAATGCCCACATGCCCAACCATACCCACAAACGCAATCCAGTGCCGAAGTTTGCGTAGGAGGACAGAACACACCACCTGGACATTCCGAGCAGGAGTATCCCGCATTTGGACAAGGATGTGCTGATGTGTTGTCGGGGTAAAGAGTTGGTGTTGAAGCATTCGCGGTGCTATGTGTCGATGAATTCGTTATACTTGATCTCGGAGGACAATCTTCTTCTCGTTTAGCTAAAGCTCCATTGGCGCAAGCTATGAGAGGTGGATGTATTGCAGAAGGAGAAGTAGTATTGGGCGGTGCAGGAGGGTAAAGACTAGGCTTCGGACAAACACTGCAAGAGTTAGCAAGTCCTTAATCCGCCATTGAAGACCATACCTGACAGTTTCGGTACATGTATAAGTGAAAGCCGCGACGAAGCTGAAAAATGTTGCTGTTGACTCGTAATGTGTGCTATGCCATGTCTCTGTGACAGTGCAAGTCTCTGTGCTAGGCGCTGGACAAGCCGTGCAAGTAGGGATTGACGCACAAGCCGTTGTACCAGACGTCGATGGAGGGTCTGTCAACACAGGAGCAGAGGTGATGTTGAAAGCCATACTGGAAGTCGAAGACGAAGAATTCAATCCCGAGGGCGATCTAGTGATACCTGCTGTCGAATTACCCCCAGCAGACGCATTCCTCCTTTCCCCTACAGCAGAAGTTGAACCAGCAGCTCCAGTTCCCGCCATCAAGCTCCCCACGATGCTTGTCGCTGCACTCACAATCCCACCCACAACACCCGTTGCTTGATCTACCTGACTGTTGACATCCTGTACTTTGCCAGGGACTTGACTCGGTGCTCCAGCGAGGACTGTTGATGCTAGACTGTTTTCTGCGCCTTGAGCGAAATTCGCAATGTCCGTTCCGCCGCCTAGAAGCGCAGCAGCTACTTTCTCTACTGCGTCTAGGATAGATCCAGAGGCCGGGGAGATGGCTTTGGCTTCCGGCTTAGGGTTTGCAAGAGGCGGACTGAAGCATCGTCAGCTTCCCAATTCTCCGTAACAAGACAATGAACTGCGATAGAGAGACTTACTTCCACGGCATGCTAAACGTAATCGTATCTCTCCTCTTGAACTTCACGCCATCCCTCGTACCCACACCAAACTTCTTGAAACCTTCTCCAAGCAAAATGACTGTGAAGACGGAGAGGAGTATCAGGATAGTGATTGCAGCGAAAGGTCTGACGATGCGCCGTGAAGACGGCATTGTAGATGGTGTTCACCAAAACGAGAGACAGGGCGAGGAAAGAAATGTACCAAACAAGATGAAATTCGGTTTGCAAAAGCGAATGTGTAGCAGAAGAGCGAGTGTTGCGGTCCAAAATGACTCAGAATTGAGGAGAGTTGAAAATCAAGACTTGAGGAAAGTAACATACTCTCCTATGTTCTAAAACGCACTTGCTCCTTCAACACGCCTGTCC